TCGAAAATAAGGCGGACTTGACCTCATTGCCGACTATCCTCCGCTCGACCTCCCCCGCAATCTCAACACACCACTGGGCCGCAGGTTCGAGATAGCTCTTCTTGGACTGCTTCAGCGTTCATGCAGTACGCGCTGCACTTCAATGGGAGCCTGGGCGTTGCCGTGATGTCCCAGCGGAGCGATCCAATTCCCCGATGCTCGGACCAAACACCCTGCTCTTGCAAATCGCCTCTCCATCTGCCTCTTTAACCACGCTCGAGGGTGATCTCTTCGATCAATTCAGTGGAATAAGGCTGACCATCAAGCGGACGACTCTTTAGGTATGCGCTCCCACACCCCCTGGAGGGGCGACATTGCTGACCGAACACAATCCTCAGGCCGCATCGAGGGGTTCTTGTACGAAACCACTTGCCTCTTCTTTCCTGCGCATCGACATTCGACTCTCGTCCCTACCACCATTGTGATCGACGTTGCCACCTCTACCCCGACCACGATTGCCACCCACACTAGACACAGCATCACCCACCTCTTACTTCCGCGAAGGAGGAGGGCAAAGAACTTATAGCCAGGTCCCAAGTCCGGCGGCTTCAGCGGTCATACTCATCGCCATGGGAGAACTCGGGCACCTGCGCTGCAACTCCAGAACGAACGACTTGTAATTTGGTCACGCGGACGGACTGTTCACAGGGCTCGAGCATCCCAGTCGAGCAACAGGGTTTTGCTGTCGATCTTTCTGCTTACGCCCCTCTTGTGCAAGTGTTGGAAGATATCCGAGAGCCATTGCCTGGAAAGCTCTCTTCCATGGGTGCCAGGATCGAATTTCAGACGAAAGGCTCGCACAGCCAAGTGGCCCGCGTCATCCAAGAATAGCTGGTTGTTGATCCATTTCTTAACGAAAGTCTGGTGGCAAGGAGCGTCGGTACCGAAGATCATCCTGCCTGTATTGCGGCTGGCTCCGAGGTGAATTACTTCTTCTTCGTAGTCGAAGCCAATTTCGAACCGTTGTGCTAATCTGTTCTTTGAGTTGGGTTCGCAGTGGACCTTGAAGTCTACCAGGTTGTATCGGTCCTCTCTTACAGACGTGGATATGGCCCACACGTTTTGAGACCTTGAATCTATCGGCATATGGTTGTCGTACCGAAACACGAAGGTGTTCTGGAAGAAGACGTCCTGGACCATCTCGCCCCATACGCGGCAGACCTTGCGAAGACCGAGAATCTCAGGAATACTCGTGTGGGGCCTAGCATCCTTGTCCCAGACCCTGCCGACACCCCTAATGTGGATACGATCGATTGGAAGTACGAACCTGCAGCGGAAGGCTTTGGGAAGGTCGTCTAAACGCGTACCATCCAGCGCCATGAGGACAGGGCCTTCGAACAAGCCAAGATGCTTGATAATCTTGTTCAGCAATTCTTGTGGCAGATCGGATATACCCTTCGCAATCATTCCTCCATACACGCGGCTTTCTGAGATGTATGGCGGTGCATCGCAGTACAATGGCAATGGCTCATTGCCATAGCGGTCGGTCGTGAGCAAGTTTTCTTCACCAGGCGGAAGAGTGTAGAAGCTATCAATGCCGCTTGCGGCACACTCCGAACGCGAAGGCCAGCCGGGGATCTTGCCTTCGAGATAACCCCAGTGGGGGAAAAGGCAGTCGTAGTCGCCTGTTAGTCCAGGACCGCCGACAGCGAAGGGTCCATATAGCTTGCCCCACCATGGTGCTTCTCGGTAGAAAGGAAAGAGCTCTTCGGATTTCTGGTACATTGCGTCAATCTCAAGCGATCGTTGAGGAGACGTCAAAAGCATCAAGAGCATGAGCTGCGCGAGTGTAAACCTAGGCTTGGTGTTTTCATCGCTAGAGGCGGCATCCCACGTCTTACGCAAGTATGTGTCTGGGGTGGACATCTCCCTAACGAACCAGGAGACGTCCTCGGCGCCCATGGACGTAAGCCGCAAACCTGGAAAGCGGTTGTACACTTCTGCGACCTCGCGTCTACCATCGTCTGTATCTCGCCAGATGCGGAAGGCGTCATCCAATTCTTTCTCGTTCGCTAGCCACGCGTTGTAGGTCATCGCATGCTGCCCATCTCTCCAGACGCGTTCGTCTGCTGTTGTAGTAGGGCGGGGAGGCTTGTGCGGGGTCGCGGTGTCCGGCTCGTTCGGGTCGACATGAGACGCTGGATCTGTTAGCGACATATCGGTCTTGACCGGAGACGACTTACGGGGCAGCATGGGTCGGGAACCACGCTCGCGAGCCGCAAGCCTAAGATACTCCAGAATGCTGCTCATCGTTGCGTTTGGCCTGAGTCCGGGGAAGCTGTTGAACTGTCTCGTTCGCGAAGGACGGGCAGCAACCAGGCTCGGGGAGATGGGTGCTTGATGATCGGACGTCTGTGGCGTGGGAGTTGCAAGAAGTCAATCCCTTCGGCGATCCGGAGAGGAGCAGAGTTGCGGCCGTAAAGCGATCGTATGCTGTACGAGTTGCCTGGTGGCTGTCTGTGCGATGGAGATAGCCGGATGTCGCGACGACCTGGGCTTTGAAACCTGGCGGCGGGACACGAGGAGGTTTGCTGTTGTCTTCCCGGCGTCAGATGCTCTCCTGGGTGGCCTTCTCGGTGTTCGAGGTGTTCCTGAGTTTGCTTTGAGAGCCGTCAGGAGTGCTTCCCGAAGGGGTTGCCTGGTGTCGCAGTCGTCCTTGATCTGGGTCGGCAAGCAGGGGTAGTCGCAGATGTTGCAGGCAGCGCCGTTGTCGTTGCCGGTATCTTCGCAAGCCCGGCGCAGGTGTGCGAGCCGATGAGAAGAGCTGTTGTCGTGGCTGTCGCCGTCTTTAGTTGTGGCTAAGATCGCGATGGTCGAACAAGGCCGCGGAGGTGGCCGATGGCGCGGAGGTGCTTATGGACGTCTCGAATTTGTCACACTTGTGCTGGTCACAATCTACGTGCAGAGAGCTGTCGGCGCAGTGTCTGAAAAGGAGGACGTGGTTGTGGGTGGCTGTCGCGTGGTGAAGCTATCAAGAGTTCGGAGGCGGAAGTCGTCGTGAGAGACGGACGCAGACAAACATCGAACTTGGTCGCCACGCTAGAACGTCACGGCAAAGTTCAGACGAGGACAACGGGTTTTCAGAATCATCAAGGCAACGCAGCCTCTGTACAGCGAGTACGCCAGCGATACAGATTGTCAGTCGAATACTAGGCGCGAGGCTTGCAACCTGGCCCCTGGTTTCTTCTACATCACACATGCACGATTACTCTGGAAATGAGACCGGCAACAGAGTAGTTCTTCTGACTGAGCTGCAGCATATCATTAGACACGCCTATGCGTTGTGCAGTAACCAACGCCTCCTCTACGCTGTTGCATCGACGTCAGGTTTGCCAAATACTAAGTCTATCTATCCTGAAGGCCATCGCGTCATCTGTGCTCTATATCCCCTCCTCCGACATGTTTTCTCTCTATTTCAAGGACAGGATGAAGGATGAGCCGGGAGGAATATCGGTTGAGCTCCAATCTGGGTGCTGGAGCAGGATGAAGAACGTTTGGATCGCTACCTCGCTCCATCCATCGGGGAGAAACCACGATGCCTCCTCATAACCACCAGTAAACTGTATACCCCGAATGAGAAGGCCATTGGGTGTTTGGACAAACATCCTGTTGGGGTCCATCGCCAAGAGCTCAGCATCTTCATCGTTTATGGTCGGCATTTGCTTCTCCCTGCTGAGAGCCAAGTCTATACCCGTTGTCGTACACTCGATGCCAACCTCATGGTCCGTTGCTACGAGTCCCAGATACGTGCGCCGCCACTCGTCGCGATATTCGACTTTGATTGATGCGCCGCGCTCGATGAGTTTGGGCTCGATCTGGCAGGGGAGAAACCACATAGGCTTTATGCCAAGCTCACTTGACTGGCCGTGCTGAAACACCATGGGGCTCTTGTAGAAGACTTCGAGCATGCAGCGCGCAAAGAGCTTGTTGACACGGCGAATCCCCAAGACCTTGCGCACCACCTCCAAGCCAAGGGGCCGGACCACCGGCGGGGTGTAGCTCTGGCTTCCTTTGTCTTCAGTCCAGTGTACCTCGCAAGCTGTCAGGGAAATGAAGGCGGGATTTTCGGGAATGGGAAAGCCGTTGTAGTCCAAAACAAGCACACCTTTGATGTGGTTGGCGCGGTGGTGCTTGAGGATCTGCAAGAATATCTCCTCTGGCAGTCTCGAGGAGAAGAACTGGAACGCGGAAGCGGCCTGTCTGCTGGTGTCTGGCGTCATCGCGTTCGATCTGGGAGCCTCGACGTGCTGAGCGCGTTCAGAGTGCTGCCGGCGGGCTCGACGTGGAGATGGCGATCGGTCTGCAGGAGGGAGACTGCGTCGCAGATGTCTACTGGCCGTTGAAAAGGTGGTGGTGCAGTTGTCGTGTACAGGAGTCGAGTGCGGGGTGTGCTGATCTGCCTGAGCGCCGACGGGTGCGGTACACAGCGCCGATGACGCCTTGCTTGCGAAGAGCTCAACGGCTGCGCTTGTGATCTGAGAAAGAGAGCGGGGGACACCGAGGATCGTTTCGTGTGTTGTGGGTGACGCGCAGATCGTGGTGCGGTTGTCGGGAAAAGTGAGACGCAGACGCACTGGACGAACAACACTGCTACGCCAGAACTGAAGGCCCGAGCGCTATCTCCTGACGATGCCGTCGGTACAGACGACTTCAGTGTTCTCAGGGATTCGTATGAGATATGACGCGGGCATCTAGAAGCACGCCGGGTAGATGTCATGATACATCAACGTCGATACCTAGAGAGTCGAGAAAGACGCCTACAGCAGAAGTGGCTTGTATCACAAAAGGTTCATGGGCATATTTTCAAAGAAGGATAATGGGAGGACATGTCTTCATATTGCTTGGTTCATCTGATACCAAGCGGCCAGCTCCTCCATCGACAAGATGTCTTCTGTCGAGGGCCAGCAACCACAAACGCCGACGCTAAATGCTCATCAACCCGGAGACCACACAAGACCACTTCATCCCCTCCGCTTCTCCATCGCACCCTTGGACTTCGCCTCCATCGCACCCTGGGTCGTCGCCGCCATGGTCAGCGTGCCGTTGCCCAACTGTCCAACACCCCAGAACTTCTGGGACGCTGGCTGGCCCAAGTGGACCGGGAAGGTACCCGAGTAGATCTCGCCCTCGTCCTCCTCCTGGACGACACTGAGAGGTGCCTCCCGAGCGATGACGTACTCGGCCATCTCAATCCTGGAACCGAAGTTCGCAGGGTCGCCGCCGACGGCTCGCACCATCTGATGTAGTCCTTTGAAGCCCGCAACTGTGCTCGGGCTGCACTGCTGGAAAGCCGCCCAGCGGAACTGACCGTCCGGCTGCTTCGTGTAGACGCGCTTGCCGTCTTCCTTGGCATCCTTGAGGGCGTCGCTGTTCTTGACGCACTGTTACATGTTAGTCAGTCACTAAGTGATGTCGAGAGGGGTTAGTACTTACACCAGTTTTGGCACCATACGACCAGTACGTCTTGGTCGCGTTGACCACGCAAGCCTGATAGTACTCCCACACACCCGATGTAGGCGCCGGGGGAGCAGGCTGTTGACCAGTGGGCGGCGGCACGCGAGGACGCAGAGATCCGGTGGTCTCGAAGAAGGAAGAAGGGGGGAACGCGGCAGGACCGAATTCGGCCAGGTCTCGATCCCTCATCTCGTTGCGCGCGGCGAGACCAAGAGCGTTGATACGGGGGGCGGTTCTCGCTTTCTCACGGGCGTCGGCGAGGAAGCGTTCCTCGTTCTCGGCGAGACTCTCGAGCATGGAGCGGTCGAGATCGTGGCGGGCGAGGAACTCGTCTGACTGGGAGAGAGCAAAACGCATTGTGATGATGATGTGAGAGTGTCGTTGCTAAGGAGAGGAAGAGGGACGGCGTTGTTGTGCCTTTTGACCTTGCGCCAAGACTTTGAGCGTGCTAGCGTAGTCAGCCAACGATCACCCAGACAATGACCGATGAGGAATGAGGAAGTGACGGTGAGAGGGGCGGCTTCCGAGCCTCTACCGTTCGGCGGAAGCTTCCAGACACGAGCAGGGCCGTTCTCAGACTTTTCCGAGTAACAATTCGAGGAAAGGAGTTCACTTGTGCAGTCTCGGATCACGGGGTATCACGATGAACGTCTCTGGTTATCCAGAGGCGTCATTTTGCAGCCGTACGGCTATCATGGAGGAAGAGGACATACTGCCTGACTGCAGCTCATGCATTGTTCTAATCTACACCGGCGTCTTCACACCCCTAATCCTGCTCCATGGTATTCTTGAGCCAGGTTGCCTGCGCCAACAACCAATCTGGACCTGGCGGAGTGAACAGCAACCTAGAAGGATATTTGAAGTCGACCGTGACTTCCCCAACGCCACGCAATTTGCTGAGAGCACGAACTTCAGGGGCAGTGCGAAAAACTTGCTCCCAAGGTGTCTGTCCTCCTTGTTGTCTAGGGTGGTAGACGTAGACGTGCCGCTCGAACGCGCTGGCAGAGATTAGTATGCGTAGTCTCCTAATCTTCAATTGATGTTGGGAGAAGTCAACGCTTGACCGCGGGAACTGGCTCGTGCCGAAGGTCGAGACGCATATCTCAACGTCGTGGATGAGGGTCTGGAGATCTGGATGGACGCCGCTTAGCCACTTCTGGCCGAAGGACAAGTCGAAGCGGTTCTTTCCAAAGAAGGCCTCTTGCACGACTGGAAGCAGCCGCTTTGCGACCAAGCCTATACTCAAGATCTCGAGCATTGGCTTGAGGACTCTCGCCTTGGAAGGCGCAGTCTGTGTTGAGAGGATGCGGGGGTGTGCCCGCAATACAGGCTCCGCCCTCCGAGACCTTGTTAAACTCGGCGATAGCCTGTCCTCCTCCACCAGTACGTATCCGAATATTGTGAGGAGAATCTCGGTGGGCAAAGCCAGAAGCCCGCGAGGAGGTTGGTTTGGGCCTGCGGCCGTCGGCGGGGAGGTACTCGCGGCGACGACGTTGGCACTGCTGAGCTGCTTCGCAGCGGCAGGCGGGAGCGAGGAGAAGGACGGCATCTTCTGTGATGCAGACGAGGGCGGGGAAGTCGAGGTGCACCGAAGACGTACTGCGATCGGGAGAGGAAGTGCGGAGAGATAGTTTCCCGCCAAGGTACTCGATCAGGCGCCGCAGCTGGACTCGAGGATGGTGTCGAATGTGTGTTAGGAGAGCAGAAGCCAGAAGAAAAGAGATTGTGGGTGATGTTGAAAGGATTGGAGAAGTTGGCGAAGAAGCTGCGACTGAAGTTTTCGCGGGCAGCTTTCACAACAACGAACGGCCGCACCAATTTAAGGGTCACTTTTAGCGCCCGGATGGAGCCCGGCCTCAAATGCTTGCAAAGCTACGCAATTACCTGAAGAGGTGAGAGGAAAATCTCCGGCTCAAGGCAAATTGAAGTGCCCGGCATTTTACTTCATTGTCCAAGAAGCTCATCCCATTCGACTTGAGAGGATGCACAATCTACATCGAGACAGCAACTGTCTCCGTTAGATATGGAATGTCTGCTGGTCATTATTCAGCCACAGTCGCTATCATATCACGATTGGATTGCATAGAAGTCGCCATCTACGCTCAGTCAAAGACGAAACGTTGAGGCAGATCACAAGGCCAAGAGGTCATACATTTGGTTCTATTACAAGATACCGTCTATCTGCATCAGAACGTCGAGAGAGCGCGACATGGTCAGTTGCTCCCGACACCAAGCGGGTGCTCAAGGCTCGTCCGGTTCGTCTGGGTTCTTCCAGTCGAGCCGCCTCAAACCTTCCAGTTTCTTTGCCTTGGAGATCTTGGTCGAGAAGTCTGCAGGATCTCCACCGTAGGACTCCAGTTCGGAGTCTAGTTCTGACCAAGGCCTCCTCACCAGGGTGTCGCTGCTCAATGGGCGTAGAGCTAGAGCTGGGTAGAGATGTGGCTGATCGCCCCTGCCGCGCCTCCCTTTGGGCTTTGCCAGACACTGCTGCAGCCGTGCAGTCTCGGGCGCTCCAAGTGCGAAAGGGGCCTGTACTACCAAGTGGTCCACCCCGCGAAGACGACTGAGAAGGTCGAGTTCAGGCATTTGGAGAAACCTCTGTCGCTTTTCGGCAGGCGTAAGAGATTGTATGCCATAAGGGACTCGCACTTTGATTGTTACTGACCGCAGTGTGTGGCTCTTTCCAATTTCCCTAATCATGTTCTCAGTATTTATCCTCCTCTTCTCCCGGTAGGTTACCGGGCCCAAGCCCAAGTAGAGGGATATTTCGACATGCATTAGCGACTCTTGGTATAGTATAGGTACACCCCTGATCCATCGAAGAGGATTCCGTTGAAGAGCCCTTCGGTAAAGGATGTTGCCGCAGGTCAGGTCAAAGGTGTTATGTCCAAAGAATACGTCGAAAGCGAAGCGGCGGAGTCGTAGATTCGTCGCAGCTACGGCCAAAAGGTCTCGTAGGGGTGGCAGGGGGAGGTCATTGTGTATGGGTTGTCCTGAAGTCGCGACTTGAAGTACGGGTTCTCCAGTCGGGTGGTTCGACTCGCTCATGCGGATCAGTTGGCCTGGGAATACCAAAAGATACCTCAAGATCTCTAGCACTATTTCATTGGGTATCCTATCGATGTTGAAGCCAGGTCCGGCATGTGCGTTGTTTGGGATCGGGATCGCGTTGCTGGTCGTCGACAAAATTTGGGCAGAGGTGGTGTGAGCAGTAGTAAGAGGTCGAGGTGCGGGGCATATGTCCAACAGTAAGTGCATGTTCGCCGCTGGCACAGACATGCCGACCCGCGGATCAATCACCGTTGGATTGATGGTGAACCTTGGCTGCTCGTACTAGTTGCTGTCAGTAAGACGTAGGAGACCGACCATGCTGTTGACTTACAATTTGAGTATCTTCAAGGAGATCTGAGGCAGACGCATCCGAGAACTGGACCCAAGGCATACCTTCTGTATAACCTTGCTGCTGAGGCTCATCCAAGTCGCAAACGTCATCATCCTCTGGATCCGACAGGTCGTCGCCTCGGTAGCCCGCGAGTAGCCCTCCGTGTCGTTCATGGAACTCGTCGGGAAAGGAGTACGGCGTGACCGGTGACAGCCAGGTATACTCGGGGTCGTCCGTGGTTAAGCCCAGCTCGGGAAAGGGGGAGGCGGGGATGTCTGGCGGCACGTCGGGAAGCTCGTCGATAGTAGGCGTTGAGACCGGGATTGCAGCAGTTGATGTCGAGCTAGGCAACATGGTCGTCGGGCTGCCACCGCGTGTAGCCAGGAGGTCGGCGACCGCCTCATGCCCACACGAGGGGTGGACTGTTGTCAGGATCTGCGCTTTTTGTAAGCTGGTGGACTTCCGATTCTACAAGGCTTGACCGACCTGGACCAACTCAGTGAGAGACGTGGAAGGTGTGGAAGCGATCACAGTAGTACCTACTGGACGGGATTCTAAAGGCACTGGCGCCATCGCGGTAATCTACGACTTGTTAGTTGCGACGTTCACGTCCGTCGCGGAGGATTGCATACCGTGGTTGTAGAGTTGAAGATCGCAGCTTCGTCCGCAAACGACGCCGGGCCTCGCTGCGAAACCGGGTAGAGATCGAGGCCAGTAGGGAGAAGACATGTTGCAGCGAAGAGCAGCAACAGTGGCAGCAAGTGCGTGCCGACCGCCACCTTGCCCAGGTGCAGGCGTCCTGGGCCGTACATGGTTGAATGGAAAGTGACTAGAAGATGTCGATAAGTCAGATGTCGCACGAGAAGCGCTGGCTGATGCCGACCTACCCGAGTCGGAGCCTGTTCAATATCTAAATCTCCAGATATAGGTGTCTCGAAGAGGTGGTAGTGGAGTGGGGTCGCAAGCCGAAAACACGTTCCGTGCATGAGCGTATCAGACACGTGCGTTTTCACTTTTCGGTGACGCGTTACATGAAGGCCAAAAATTCGCCTCCATAAAGAAGACCCTGAGATGCGACTGGTGAGTCACGGCTCACCGAGATCGGGTTCAGCGATCACGGAATGATCGAATGTTTGTCTATGTGTAGATGATCTTTCATCTGCTTCCCAGAACCGATACCAGAGAAGACTGACGCCCGAGCCGACCGTCGACAGGCCCATGTCAAAGTACAGATGTACTGTGACCTGCTGCACTCCTCGTTCTATGTGAACAGGTAGTTTGATCTGGGAACTGTCGCACATCAAACTGCGCATCCCACGTCGTCCTTCACATGTCACAGACACCGCATGCGGGTAATTATAATGAGAAAGGTTGGCACAAGAAAGAAAAAAGTGTTGTCATTATCTATGGTTGCTACAGAGTGTAGAAGGGGAGTTGCTCTTACCGAAAGAGTGAAATCAAAGCCCGCTATGAGATGAGGATGCAGTTTGCAAAGCTGCCTCATGAGTGGTCCGACATCTTCGATCGATATCGGGCAGCTCATTGAGATGCCTAACCGCGTTGCGTTCGTACAAGTCCTTGCGATCATCCAGTGACAGCACGTCATGGGAAGTTGCTAAGGCCACCAAGACCTTGAACGCCTCTATACTCCCAAACGGGAAATTATATGCCCAATAGACGTCGTTCTTCACTGTAATAGCAGGGAAGCAAGCCGAGCTTCGGGACAGGGGTACGTTGCGTGCCTCGACGAGCGAGGGCTTACTTTAGTGGCTAGATAGCGGACGTGCGTGGATTTTGCCTGGCCACGCGACATCGACTTTTCAGATTCATATTCTTGGCAGGCCACCGCAAGATTGGACTCGCTTCTCAGATAGACGACAGCGATTACCCTCAAGACTTTAAACGTACGCAGGATAGCCCATTTGGTAACCACGCCTGTCTGCGAGCACTTCGTGCATTTACCGCGTAGCTCTGCGATTAGCGGGGTATACGATCAGCATCGCACGAAGAGTTGCGTCGGAGATACTCTGGTATCTAGCAACTAGTCCTGAGATCAACAAGAAGACACCGTACGGCAGACATTTGCTCATTTGAGATGCGACACTAATTCCCAGGCAGTTGCAACACGTACGCCCGAAGCAGCCACCATCACCCACGTCCTCCGCGACAACATGGCTGAGGAGTCCTCCAGTATGGCGTCACGTCAAGAGTTGCTGGACCAACAGCACTTTACCGCCGAAAAGTTCGACTTTTTCCTCCCGGGCGCGCCGCACGAGGGTGACTTCCGTGCAGAAGCGCTGAAACCGAAGTCTCGACTAGGCGCTTTTCTCCACGACATATATTCCCACAGAGGCAGAAGAATGAAGATCACGGGCACTCAAATGATCACTCTTACACTCCTGTCGTTCAAGTCTCGGAAGGCGACCAAAGCAGAGATAGTCCAACGTGCTACCGAACTGCTCAACTTTCATCGACGTTATTTCCTCCGAACCCAAATAGCAATGGAGTCTTACTCCAACCAGCTCATCGATGCGATGGAAGCTTACCTGCTTGAAGAGAGTACCCAATACGATGTCAAGTTCCCGCCCGAGGGCCATGATCGGCTCCGATCAGAGCCAAGGACTTCAGAGAAGGAGGCGGACAAGACCCTCTGGCCACTTTGGGCACGCGGAGTTGGCGCTGAGATGGTAGAAGAGGAGAAAGATCCGAAGGGCGAGATGCGCTACAACTGCGATTACGGCAAACCCTTCATTGATTGGTTTGACCAAACCGGCCGCGAAATGGATCATCGCCGACTTGCAGGAACTGGACCAGACCAGTGCGTCTACACACTGCCCCCGGGCATGGAAAACAACATCTTCGCCAAATTCTACGACACACAGATCATGAACTCCAACGCGAACTTGAACACAGGATTTGGACAACATATCGCACGCGATTACTTCAGCGAGCTTCCAGGAGAACTCAAGCTCAAAATCGTCCGACTGGTGCTACTGTTTCCCACCAAAGTCAGGATCCAAGCCACTACTTTTCTTCATGAAGACTGGCGCCCTGACCATTGGCGTCGGGACTTGAGCCACTCCCAAGCCATGGACCTTTCTGTATACAAATTCTCATCACTTGTGAAGGTGCCGAAGCTCATGCTTCCTTCCAACGCTGAACTAGTCAAAAGGCCTCAATACTACTGGACGATGGAACCTCCTGCAACCATGTTAGCGTTGTTAGCAGTCAACAAAGTCATGCACGGAATTGCGAAGCCCGTTTTCTACAGCGAAAACTACTTCGAGATCAAGGACGGCTATGCCTATCCACATACCTTTGTAGTAGGACATACGATAAGTGGCGAACAGCTTACGCATCGGTTCTTGGAGCTCATGAGCCAATCAAAGGCACGCGATGGTACTCCTCGATACGGCCCTCGTCCAACAGATCTTATGCGCAAGGTCAACGTTGACATGGAGATCTATTACCCAGACTCCGGTCCAAATGGTTCACAGGAGCCATGGCACTTTGAACGCATAGTGAACGCTTTGATCACGATGCCCCATCTCCAGAAACTCGTTATCAACGTCGGCATGTTATGTATGAACTTTCTCAGGGAGTACATGGAGGTCGATGAGTCTGTCAATCTGTTCATACAACCAGAGGTGTGGCCAGGATGGCGGAAGCTACCTTGGGCGGCATCCGCAATTCCTGTTGAGAACGGACAGGATGGGAAGTCAGCGGCCGGACTCAAGGTCTTTATCCCCGAAAATCGCAAGGTGCAGAAGTGGCTTCAAGACCTCATCAACATGCCCGATGAGGCGCCAGCGAAGATTGTTCACATCGTATCCGAGGATTGGTCTACCGAGGAGTGTCCTTCTGGGCTGATTACTCAGGGCCTGCAGAAAGCTGAACAGCGCTGGAGGAAGGCCTGCAAGGACGACAAGGTTATGGAAGGAGAAGACGAGAGCACTGAGTAGGGTACCGACGATCCAGAAGAAGCTGAGGATGTGATCAGCTTGGCATAGTGAGTCTAGAGGCGAGCACGAGCAACGAAGGGAGGATTGGTGGAAACCTCTGGGGCAAATCTGTAGATAGCGGAAAAAGATGTCCAAGTATTAGAGCTAAGCGTCGAGTACATCGATCGGAGAATGTAGGCCAGCAACAGCCTCCTAGTCAGCGGTGTTGGCTGTTATTGGACCCTGTAATTCAACCTCACCTTCGCCGTGCAGCCTCTCAGTGCATGTATGTCGCGGCTGGACCGCCCAAATTGCGCAACAGGCACGCGTTGCCCCTGCCGTCTTCTTCGCAATGTACCGCCACTCTCGTGCGTTTCGCTGACTGGGCGTTCGCGGTCGATGTTGCTGAAGGTGCCCACGCCCGGGACCGCGGTTGCACAAGGAGCCGGTGTTCTGCTGGTGGGGTCGTGCGTCTCTGGACATTCGGACATTTCGAAACACCGTAAGCCATCGTTCAGATTCCGCACGCACGCTATCAGCCGGACAGCGTGTTCGCTTCGTACAGAGCTTTCTGCGTTGCGATATTCGGAAATTGACTGTTCTTTGGCGGACGAGAGGCGAGATTGAGACATCGCCTGAATCACCCAGGTACCTCAGGTAGTGCCCACATAATACACCTGCATGCCGTCTGACGACCGTGAAGTCGACGTTTCAAGGCCACACATGAAAGAGGCAGTGACAACCTTGCGAAGATCATCGACCTAGACAAAGAAATGTGCGCCAAGATTGCAAGATTGCTACTCGGCCATACGGTGCGGAAAGTTTGTCCAAAATCCAGAAAGGCCTCATTGATGATGATAGTGCGCGGAAAGCTGCGTCGGCCTTGGTGAATGAGACAGCTGCGGACGGCTCTCCTGTTTCGTGCCATTTTTTCGCGACCTACAATCTATCGCTCGTGAAAATCTGCCCCAACAGTATGATAAGCCAGCGATGCGCTGCGCTGGCATCTCATCTCGCCCTGGTGGGCCTCGGGGGTGTGGGTAGACAAAGTAGTAAGACCGGCACTAGTACAACGTACGACCCGGAAACCATGCTTCCGGTACAATTTCCCCAGAAACAATTAAGTCTACCCGGATATATAGTTGTTAGATATGTTTCTAACATAATAGGACAACGGTCGACATCAAAAACTGCACCCGACGCATCTTCAAACTCATGGCATATCTCATTACTGGGGTGGTGACAATAGCGTCGCTATTCATTGCTTCCCAGCTATGGTATCTCGCCAACAACTATCAAGCAGCGCGCGCGACTGGATTACCCATCATATTATGCCCTTATGACCCTGATAGCGTAAGTTACCGCTCCTCCTCTCGCAATATGTGGTTGAAGCAACCTGCACACCCTTGCCCGTCTCTTCAGACCTAGCTATTCGAAACTGATCATACTCTTAGGCGTTCTGGTCCATATTCTGTGTCCCTATGCGCCCCATTCTTCGCTCTATTCTTCCCAAATCTATCTTCGCTACCGTGGAACTTAGTATCTGGGGCTGGGAATTCCGGGAGAAAGCAGCGATCCACGAGAAGCTGGGACCCGTTTTTGTCGTTGTTACTACAGGACTCAACCGGCTTGTTTGTGCGAACCCGTCCATGGCCCATACCATCATGTCTAGAAGGAGAGACTTTGTTCATCCAGACATTACCACCGAGACCATGGGGTTTTTGGGTCCAAACATTGTAACTGTAAGTGGATTGCTTACGCTGTTTATCGTGACTAACGCATCGGTATAAGGCTAAAGATGAGTCCTGGTCCCGCCAGCGCCGTATTGTCGCCCCGGCTCTGAACGAACGCATTAGCCCAGAAGTGTGGAGAGTGAGCGTAGAACAAGCATCTTCCATGGCAGACCTCTTACCCTCAGTCTCCCCACCTGATGCTGCCAAAGGGCCCGCCCAGATAGTTCTTGGTCTTCGCACGATCGCGATGAACGTCCTCGGTCGTATTGCGTATGGGCATGACAAGCCATTCGCTTTATCCCAGCCGGCGACCAAACCATCCGCAGACATCTCATACGTTGATGCTATTTCTTTAGTCACCGACAAGCTCATCTACGCTGCATTTCTTCCTGCCAGCTTTCTGGGCTTGCCCTTCATGCCGCAGGTATCACAGCGATTAGGTACAGCACTGAAGCGATTGCCAGGGTTAACACAACACATGCTCAATCAGGAGCGCCAGAACAGTGTTTCTACATCGCCGCATGCTACGCAGACGACCGAGAGTCCAAATAACAGTCGAGGCACCATCATGGAAGAACTTGTCCGCCTCTCAGACCAGGAGAAGATACGGACAGACGCGTCAACGCCAGAGTCGGTGGACAAGGTTACCAAGAAGTTTCTCACCGAGGAAGAAATCGCAGGAAACCTCTTCATCTTCACCGCTGCTGGCTTTGACACAACCGCAAACACAATGTCCTACGCCGTCGCGCTGCTCGCAGTGTATCCGGAGTGGCAAGCCTGGATTCAGACCGAGATCGATACTGTGCTTGGAGAACCTGACATGTCGCCAATAGACTATGCAAGTGCATTCCCGAAACTTGTTCGCTGTTTAGCTGTTATGGTAAGCTCCCCAATATCGACATACTGCCATCCTTGAACGGCATCCTTCAAGGACGGCTAGCTCCCTAGCCTCTACTCCGTTAGCTCGGTGCTGACGCTTTCACAATATAGCTCGAGACCCTGCGCCTCTACCCGCCCGTAACTCTCCTCATGCGATCCATAACCACGAGTCAGAACCTTGCCTTCGCAGACACGTCGTTTCAGATCGCGGCTCCATCCACCATCTACGTCAACACAACGGCATTGCATACTTCACGCTCAACATGGGGTTCTGATGCCCTGTCCTTCAACCCCGCACGCTGGCTACAACCCGACACACCAGAGCCCACGCTCATCACACCTGCGCAAGGAACCTTTATGCCGTGGTCTGTCGGTCCGCGTGTATGCCCTGGGCAGAAGATGTCGCAGGTAGAATTTGTAGCGGTTATTGCGACGCTGTTTCGTAGATGTAGTGCGCTACCAGTTGTCCGTGAAGGGGAAAGTACAGAATTGGCGAGACAGCGCTTGCTCCATTTGTTACAAGACAGTCAGCCGGTGTTGACGCTGCAGATCAATAAGCCTGAGGACGTTCATATACATTGGGCTAAGCGATGAGTAGCTTAGTGGTGGTACGTCGAGCAGAAGACGAGATGCAGCGTATGAGCAAAATACATGATATATTGGTGTTCGTTTTAAATAGTACCGAAGTAGACTTCTCTTACCTAACTTCGCACTAGATTGGGTCAGAAGATGTGATGTTTGTGCTCATCAGGATCGCGCTCCTCGCGCACCGTGCAATGCGTTTTGGGTGTAACATCTATGTCAAAGGTCCCAAGCTAACAAAGCTTAGAGATGCAGCCATTGTTACAGCTCTGTTGCTGATACGGGGTAGGGGCTGACTTCCCCTTCAGCTAACCCCTTTGCCCATCTCATGAACAGAAACACGCACGCCGAGATCGTGAACGCCTGGGTCGCGATGAGGGTGGCTTTTCCTTTCTTGGTGCGAAGATTCGGTCGCGTCAACACACCGACCACATCGTCAACCAACGCAACATATGCCGTAAGATTGAGAATACGATCGGCAAGAAGAACGACTTGTTGCAACATGGGTGTATCGAAGGATACGAAGAAGCGGACGAGCCAACTACCAAGTATCCACGTCAGGGCGACCAGAAATTCCGAACGCCTTTGTCTTGTACCCACTGGACGTTCCCCAATCAATTGGTCGGCGCCATAGCTGCCAAGTATGTCTACTAAGTATTGTATGACGTTTGGTGGTGTACCGAATAGCCGACCGTAGGTTGCGATGACGCCTGCGCGGTAGAGGTCGTTCTTGCGTGTGAATCGGATGGATTGCTTCAGAGTAGGTTCGGGTCGGTTCGACGGATAGAAGGAGGATGCTACGAGGTACGTCGGTATGGCGAAAGACACTACAAGTGGCAGACTGTTCCCGCCGGTCGTAAAGCCAGTGGCCTGAGCGATGACTGGTGACAAGAGAACAGCGAAAGGGCTAGCAATCACGGGGGCGTATAGGTGAGCATATCGGCGCCATGCGGCAATGGCATAGTCTGCTTCTCCAGTGTCGGATGCGTGTGCTGCTGAAGTAGTTGGAGGCTGCTGTGGCAGTCCATCGCTATCGTGGGTGTTCATGGCGAAAGGAATGGAACACGACGCGGTAAGCTTCGTGTGCTGGGCATCTCTTGGCTTGGGAAGCTTCATCGCGCACAGACACAACTTTGGAAGCTGCCCCTTTCGCTGAGCGGCCATCATCACCACCTTGCCACCCCAACGGAGCTCATATGCTGCACATGTGTCGAGGGGCATCTCGTTGTTAACAATCACCTTCACGCGCCGCCTGCCGCAGGTCCAGTTGATGTTCTGCACGCACACCCCACCATACAGGCCCGAATATCGCAATGGCACGCGTGTGGATGGCATGCATATAGCCACTCTTCCCCAACGCTGTTACCAGCATCTGCCAGAGCACACACCAGATGCTCATGCAAGTAACATCTGATGCGACGCGGTGCGACCCCGTCGTAGACCATGAAAGTGCCGGCAGGGTCTGAGATCGCCCATGAACCCGGGATGCTTCAACAGGCAGCTGCTGACCACCGACACATCGTTGCAACGCCAGTCAAGCCATGTTCATGTCTTTTGAACGCGATGACCAGATCCATGGTAGGATGTGAGGTCGAAAATCGCGCATCACTATAGGCTGAGCTCGCAGAAGCTTGATTTCGCGTGTCGTAGCGTGGCTGTGTAGTTCTTCGAAAATCGCTCATGGCTAACCGTCAACAGCTCAGACAAACGCAGTCGCCAATGGCAATTCTTGGGCGCATGGGAAAAGGTCCGACGGGATGCCTCCGACGCTTACGGTTTACCTGTTGCAGGACCCTGGCCCCATCTTGGATTGTATGAGGTATTTGTGCGTCGAATCGCTTCAAGTTGACTATGACAGCGACGAGGAGGGCCTTGTACCACACTCTTGGTGTCATTCTACGTAGTTGTGATTACGATGGAGCTTTTACGGTATGGAAATCCTACCAAGGCCGCCCAAGCACGTGTTTGACGCGCTGCTAGAGCTTTCGAAGGCACGCTGCTCGTAAAGACGGCAGATAGCTTTCGCCTTTCTCGGGGTATAAGTCGCGCTTCATGCATCACTAAATCTTGTGCTACCTCTCTCCGTTCTTCTCAGCTCATTCGCATCTTTTTTGCACACTCCCCGGTCCTACTTCCCGCGGTATCGATCTGTGTTTTCCACAGGTTCACACATGGATCAGGAAGAAAAGGTCGCTCCTCGCGTCCGTTTCGGAGAGCTACGCCTTCCCGACGAAGAGGATGGATACGCGACCCACGAACGTCGCCATGAGCGCAATCTGTCACGGCGATCAAGTGTGGGCAGCCTTTCCATCCGCAGTGCTGGAGGAGCGCGCACTGTACAGCCAGAGACTGCACTCCCCATCACCTGTGAGTAGCTGTCTCTATGACTTGCTTGTGAGACATCCACTGACTCCTGATACGAACATTCAGATCGTACTCTGTCCATCGAGATCGACGAGGATCAACACAAGAAGCAGGATGAGGTGAAGAGAGCGAAGGAGAAAGCCGCTGTTGGTGAGTCTGTTGGCTGTAAATCACAGCCACGTCTACTGACTTCAGCTCTACAGATCTGGCAGACCTCGAATGGCATACACTTGCCGTTCATGAGCTGTGTCGCCGCCTCTCCGTCGACATCGACCAGGGCCTTTCTGACGATCAGGCCCAGCGTCGCATTAGCGAACACGGCCAGAACAAGATGACACCTCCCCCATCAGGGCTCCTCAAGAAGATAATAGGCTACTTCTTTGGTGGTTTTGGTAGCATTCTTGTGGTTGCTGGTATACTGGTATTCGTCGCATGGAAGCCTCTCGGTAAACCGCCAGCGGTCGCAAACCTGGCGCTTGCCTGTGTACTGATCGCTGTTTGGCTCATCCAGGCTGCCTTCAATGCATGGCAGGACTGGTCAACCAGCAGAGTGATGGCATCCATTGGAACGATGCTGCCTGATCAATGCATTGTCGTACGCAACGGATCGCACGTTAGCATCTCGGCCTTGGATCTAGTGCCTGGCGACATTATCGTTATCAAGCAGGGCAACAAGCTACCCGCCGATGTTCGATTCGTCGATATATCCAGCGATTCCATGTTCGATCGCGCAATCCTTACTGGTACGTAAAACCTACACACATCACTTGAGCACGAGGACTAACATATGCCAGGCGAGTCTGAGCCCGTCGCAGCTACCATCGAAGCAACCGAAGACAATTATCTCGAGACCAACAACATCGGATTACAAGGCACCCATTGCATCTCAGGCGCATGTCTCGGCGTGTGCGTTGCAACTGGCGACAACACTATCTTCGGTCGTATCGCAAAGCTTACCTCGGATCCCAAGACTGGCATGACTCCTCTTCAGAAGGAGATTCTACGCTTTGTGCTCATCATCTCACTCTTCATCACATGCGTCGTTATTCTCATCGTGGTTCTTTGGTATGTTTGTGGCTGGTCTAGAGCAACATGTCTATGCTTGGCTATCTATGAGTTGAAGGATTTGTACTTACGCATCTCAGGGCTGCATGGCTGAGGAAATCTCATCCTACTTGGATTGACGTACCCCTTCTTATCGTCAGTTGCGTCTCGTGCGCTGTTGCATGTATGGACTACCCAACAATGTCTTTTTCCATGTACAGATGCTAACTTTTCCTTCTTTCTCTAGTCATCCCCGAAGGCTTACCGATCGCACTTACCACGAGCTTGACCATCGTCGCGAACATCATGCGCAAGAACAAGATACTTTGCAAGTCCCTCAAGACCGTTGAGACACTTGGTTCCGTTTCGGTGATCTGTTCCGACAAGACCGGAACGTTGACGAAGAACAAAATGGTCGTCACGGACATTTATGCAGCGGGTGAAGAGTACACTACGGATGCGGCGCGTGATATGATGGCAGTCTTTCGTTCGGAACAGAATCTCTCTGTGCTTTCCAAGGCCAAGACAAACATCATGGATCAAGTCCGCATGCTCGGTGGTCTCTGTAATTCCGGTGAATTCGATGCCGCTACTATGCATCTTCCCATTGCGGAGCGCAAGATCAACGGCGATGCAACTGATCAGGCTATACTTCGACTGTCCGAGTCTCTTGGGTCAGTCGCTGAGTTGCGTCGCGACTGGAAGAAGGTTTTCGAAATTGCTTTCAACAGCAAAAATAAGTTCATGGTCCGCTTGATGACACCCGCGAACCAGACTCCGACGAGCAACAACGCTACTCTCATGATCAAGGGAGCTCCCGATATCCTCCTGCCTCGATGCGACCTCATCCTGAACGAGAAGGGCGAAGAGATACTGCTTACAGACGCACAACGCCTTCGTATCGACACCGTCAAAGACAGCTGGTCTCGCCAGGGAAAGCGCGTCATACTGCTCGCTCGCAAGCCGACTATCGTACCCTTCTCCGCCAACCATGAGAAGGAAGTATTGGTCGCAGCCCGGGAAGGTCTTACGTTTATTGGCATCGTAGGCATTATGGACCCACCCCGTGATGAGATTCCAGACGTCGTTCGTATTCTTCGAGGAGCTTCGATCCGTATCTTCATGGTCACTGGCGACTTCAAGCTCACGGCTCAGGCCATCGCTGAAGAGTGTGGCATCATCTCGAACTCCGCTTTGGTCGACGACATCAGCGCTCTCGGCCGCGAAGGCAAGATCGGGACTACGAAGCAGTCAATCGTGCTAAGTGGGCCCGAACTCATCACATTGAACGCGGCGCAATGGGATCAACTCTGCCAATACCAGGAGATTGTGTTCGCTAGGACGACGCCTGAGCAGAAGCTTCGTATCGTTAAGGAGTTCCAGGCCCACGACAACATTGTCGGTATGACAGGTGACGGTGTCAACGATGCGCCATCGCTCAAGGCTGCCGACATTGGTATCGCTATGGGCAGTGGTTCCGATATTGCCATTGAAGCTGCCGATATGGTTCTTCTCGATTCGTTCGCCGCCATCATTGAGGCTGTTCAGTACGGTCGCCTGGTCTACGATAACTTGAAGAAGACGATCGTGTACTTGCTTCCCGCCGGTAGCTTCAGTGAGCTGTGGCCTGTCGTTACCAACGTCGCATTCGGTATTCCGCAGATCCTGTCGTCCTTCCTTATGGTAAGTACATCTGATCAGAATACACTGCGTCCGTCAGCTAACCTTGTCTAGATCATCATCTGCTGTCTTACCGACTGTGCCGCCGCCATCACGCTTGCTTATGAGAAGCCAGAGGCCGATGTGATGCTTCGCCCTCCTCGTAACCCTAAGAAGGACAGGCTAGTCAACGCTCGGCTTATCTTCCATGCCTACTTCGTTGTCGGTTTACTGCAGTGCTTCCTCGCCTTCACCATGAGCTTCTGGTGGATGCAGCGCAGAGGAGTTCCGTTCACGGCGATGTGGCTGAAGTTTGGTGTTTACGATCCTCAATACGACCCGGGATTCGTTACCGAAGTCGCCAACGAAGCTTCGAGTATCTACTTCGTCACACTAGTGATCATGTAAGTATAGATGTGGAAGTGTACTGAGTAACTAGCTGACATTGACGACAGGCAACTGTTCAACCTACTTGCTACTCGCACCCGTAGACTCAGCATCTTCCAGCAACCGCCTATCTTCAACAAGGCTACTCAAAACTGGTCGCTCTTCCCTGCCATGATCTTCGCCATCGTTGTGGTCTTCAT